ACTAACACAAAATGATAACGGCATAAAAGTTGTACCTCAAACATCTTTATCAATCTTTATCAAAATCCTTGAGGAAGGGGCAGTCACAAATGTATTACGAGAACAAGGTTTACACGGATAAATTCCTAGGTAGTAGCCTTATATTAGCAAGAAAAACAAAACACTACGTTTCAAATTCGCTAAAATACTTCTGAACAATCTGATATCATTTTTGATTTGGTTTGATTCACAAAAAATGTTCTTAGTAGAGGTTTTCTTGGCTGAAGCGCAAATCTGGTCGATTTTGAACTTAAACTCCCTCCAATCTTATCACCATATGTGATTTTTGACTCAATTACTGCATTCATTTTTAGGAGCTTGAAGAATTGAGGTTGGTTCGTTGACCTGTTCGGAATAGCTCTTAAAACAAACGCATTTTAGACAAGGATTCGTGAAACTTTTGTAATCCCATCCTTTTTAAATAGATGACAACACTAGGTTTGATAGGATTAACCTCAAATAGCTCGACACGCACTGAAGTTTCAAGCCCTATTTTAAAATGAACGCGATGTCAATTGCTCGAAGCAGCTATTCAAGTTTCTTCATAATTTTAGATGTCCTGTGGCACAAACTCGTCTGTTTAATATAGAATGGAGTAAAATAGTAATACATCAATGTTACTTTTGTCGAAAGTTATAACTTGAGGTAAACTAGAGGTCTAACTAATACTTATAATAGAAGAAAAATGTAGGCGTGGTAAGGTTAGTCCTATCTAATAATGATAATATGTACTTATCTATCAGCCTTGGATTCTAAATAGAGTTCCTACAGTTCCAGATCCGCTTAGGTTTTTGCCACCAATCAGTACAGTTGGCTAAAAAAATCAGAAACAAAAGATTATTATACATTTGCATGGCAAGTTAACACCTACAAGTTCATTACAAAAAAAAACCTCCCCAGCCAAGCTTTTCCCCTTCTTATATTTCCATACAAACTCAAGTTACAATATTTTATCTTCTGAGTAGCAAGTCTTCTCTGTAACTCGATGTTGGAACGATATTATTGCTTTATTATTGCTGCCGCCGGGCTGAGGGAGCCCCTCTCGTTACCGCGACCTATAAGATCTATTGTAACTTTAACCCTCCAAAAGTTTGGGGCAAATGTAGGTCCTTGATGAACCTTAGTATTGCTCTGAGGTCTTGAACCTTTATGTCGGTAGGTGTCAAGAGAGTTTTACCGAAAATTTTGTGTCTTAGTCGGCCTCTGGTGACGCAATTGCACAGTATATGTTCAGCTGTTTCTGAGTCGTCGTTGCAAAGTCGACAAGTTTGATCCTCTTGAGAGATATAAAAGCTGTGTCAATTAACCTATATTTTAATTTCTTCTCCAGCTTTTTTCGACAACAATTCTTATGATCTTTAAGAATGCAGTATTAATAACTGGGATTAATCGAGTTTGGTTTTAGAAAGAAAGAAAAGACCAATCCTCTTAATCTCATTTTAAATCCCGAGCATTCTCCATCTTGAAAGATACCAAAAACAGTGTGGCCACACATTGTAAGCAAAAGTAAAAACAATATGAGATAATATCTGGAAATGTCAATAGAACAAACGGCACTGGAAGGCAGAAACGTTAAGATAGCAGGATTGGAAGGAAAAAGATGTGTTTCAGCATCTTGTACAAAGTACAGATCTGGCTGAAAAAAATACGATTCTATCTGTGAAACGAATAAGTAGAAAACCTCAATAGTGCGGTGTGGGATAAAGCATATCAGATGTACCATGTACCACTGTTCACAATGAATGATAAAATAAGCAAAAAAAGTTCCTGACCTAACCACTAATACTACAAATTCTAGTGTCTAAATATCCACGGAATATTCTGAAAACCTTTAACTGTATCCGAGGAAGTTGTCCGTGGAAGATGTTTTGAGAAGAATTTAGTGGTCGTTCTGAGGTCGAATCTTTATAGATAGTGAGTACAACGAAATACGAAGAAGCTATAAGACAGAAAGTTGCAAGAAAAAAAAACAGAATACAAACAAGAATCAGGAGAACAAGCTTACTCAGACAGCGACGAAAAAATCACCAATACTAAGCACTTTTTAGGTAAGGCTAAATCAAAATTATCAGATTTCTAAGGAACAATAGAAAGGTAAGATAATGCGAAATAGGTAGATAGAAATAGGAGATAGTAAAGATATTTTTTAAACGAGATATATTGGGCGATATTGTTTCCAAAAAGGTACTATTGTCTAAACATTGAAAGTTTATGTTGGCAGGGCCTTGCCAAAAAAGTAACAAACCAGAAAGTATGGTTGTACGTTTGATTGAGCCAGTATCTGGAACAAAACATAATATTATAACCCAATTCAACCTACTCAAAAAGCATTGACTTACATCATTTAGAACAATCAAGAAAAATAAAAACTATCAGCTTTTCTAAACGTACGAAATGGATAACAGCTAGATGTATAACAGCTACTTGGTCTTCATAGAAGAAGGAAAAGGCCATCTCATACAGACCAATTTTTTTTATACTGGGTAACAACAAGGAATATTTACATTTTTGAATAGCCAAAACAATACTAACAATGTTTAAGTTATAAAAACTATTTGCCATTTAAAACTATTCATTATGTTGACAGAGTTCATTTTTAAATGTGCTACAAATGCTACACATGTTGAAATGAAGAGATCGAGCTGACTAGGACACTTCAAACTCTGAAATCACACGACTTTGTCATCAAAGGCTGCAGTAAGTTAACTGTAGTGGTCATATGACTCCTTGCAAGTTTCTGCACATTGATTTGAAGTATTTAGGTATACACAAGGTGCAAGAAGAGCTGACTCAGACTATTTTCTACTGAATATCTACAATTTCATCGAGTCCAATTAAGCTTCAGTAACGAATTTGGTTACTTTCAACACTTGTACATATATACAATTTTGCTGAAACTTACACAATCAACGGCTGAAACTTAAGAACTATTTGTATAATATTTTTAATATCTGCGGAGTTGAACGTCTGGGACTGCTTGTCAATGCACATCTCATTCCTTCAGAGTTTTTGCTGTACTCACCGCTCATAGAAGATGACTTGATTCTTTATGTTTCTTGGACATTGAAATAAATACGAATGGCTTTTTGAGCTGCTAATACTTTGAGAATGTATTGTGATAAAGATACAAAAACGGTTTAACCACTTGGTAAAATGGTACAACCTTTACGAAAGACAAGGCTGCCTCTGCTGAGGGGTAACGAAGTAGTTCCTTGGACAGATGGCAGCCTTTAACCCTGTTTCACCAGTTCATAAACTTTTTGTGGGTGAAATCTTTAATTATCTTAATTCGTGTTGATAAGGACGGAACGATTATCGGTCTAGGCGAACAAGGCGCTCGCTTGGCAGCCCTTTTAGCAAGCCGATAGGCGTTCTTATGACCTGAACAGGTGGAGTGTCCTTTTGTCCATTGAAGTATAACAGTTACGCACTGCGGTCTTCTCTAATGTCAGATGACAATCCATAACAAGTCCTGAGGAAGCCAGGTCATGGCTTTCAAAGTTGAAAAATTGTCTTATTAAAAATGTAATTACTTAAAATACTTATTATGGTCACCCTGTGTATCAAGATCCATACTTTTTGAGAGCCACGGAATCAATCTTGAGAATTTTTAACTTTTTAACTCACTAGTATTTACTTAAGCAATCTAAGGTTTACACAAGAATTTATGGCTAAGTTTTGAAATGATGGAAGCACAAGTTTTGTAATTCCAGAATTTATAGCTGATGATTCTTGCTAGTGAATTAGTCGTTTCTAAACTTTAGTGTTGAAACAATTTCAGTATTTTAACAAAATTCCTTCTATTCTTTTTTAAAATAAATAAAACGTTCATTTTTTCACTTCAAATCCCAAGAGATACAAAAAAAATCAAGAATTTGTAATATAATGCCGGGCGAACATCGACCTTCTTCAGTTTCTGTCTCGAACAAAACGTAATAAGCCAGAAATTGCGCTAGCACTCGAACAGCTGCTCGGAAACGACCTCACTACTATAGGTGTTACTACACCAACGAGGCGTTGTTCCAACACGAAAACTTAGAATTAATTCTTTTTATTAACAAAATTAAAATTTTATGTTTAATTGTTCGAAAAAGTGGCAAAAAATACTAAAATTGGATTTTTTGAAATCTTATTGGAGATTTTGTACTTAAATATTCTTGACAATGATCGCTATCCGGACGAGGAGAGAGATCCGGTTCGGGATCACGGCGAAACTAGTTACTCCTACGTGTCGTCCGCGGTTTGCGATCGCAAAACCAAACGGCCAGTTGGACGCGCATAACCTGTCCGCACCTGTTGACGATCGGACGGGATTCAAAAAAAAAAGTGCGCGAACCCAAACCGCGAAAATCGAAGGAAGAAAGTGAAAACCGCGAGGTTCAAAATTATATTTATTTAGGTCGATTCTGCCCGCAACATTTTTTTCGCTTTCTTTTAATTTTATTTTAAACCGGAATCTTCAAAGAACGTGAATTGTGTAAGTAATTGCAACGTGTTTGCTTAGTAGTAAAGTAGTAGGTAGATGTGTACAAATTGGAAATGGTGGGGAAATGTTTGGGTGATGTCATAGGTCGCGGAGACTCTTTGTTTATAGCGGGAAAATAATTATTCAAACATTTCTTAAGACTAACAAAGTTCCAAATGAACTAATAAATAAATTGTACATTAAACATTTCGACCTAATTTTCCTGGTTTTGTTCCCCGACATAATGTCAATACATCAAGATTAATATATGCCACACAGACCATATGGTACTAATAAATGATAATTTATTTAACTTACAACAATATTTTTAATACTTTTATATAAGATATCATAAATTGTGTATTATATCAACGATATTAATAAACTCTATCTTAAATAGAGCGTAAAATCTAATAGACTTGTTAATAGTGATTCAACTGATTTCAATAAAAATGTGATTTTTTTATTGTTGTGCTTATTATTATTATTGTTCTAGAGTCCAGTCACCGGAGTGATTCTGGCTCCGGGTATTGGCAGCTTCAGTTGGACCGTGACCTAGTCGAGACCATTTCCGCCATATACCCGGAGTGGTTCAAGAGCAATATGGCGGAGGGTGGCGGTCATCAGGGGTCGACCCCGAGGGCTTCGCCACCGAAAGCGGTCGTCGACACATCCCCGTTACTTAATTCACTCGAACAAAATAAAGAATGTAAGTATTATCAACACGAACAAATTGTTCATTTTTAAAAATATTAAAAAAAGAAATAGTGCGTTTTAATAGTGTAGAAAATACGCCTACTTGTATATCTACGTGTCTAACCTTGATTATAATATGAAAAGTATTCGCAATGTTGACGCCACTTGTATAAACAGACATCTGGAAAATTAATTACCGCTTATGAAAGTTATCAGTTAACTTCTGTTTTCTTTTACGTGGAAAGTTTAATATTTCACGAACATTTTTGATTGACGGGTACAAAAATTGTGCTTGTATTGAAGGAAATTATTTATGAAACGTTTATTTGAAGTGAAATTACTTGAATTGCATAATATTACTTGTATTGATATTCGATGGTTTTACGATTTTATAGAAACGTATCTCTACATAAACCGGGTTTTTTGCAACTAAATTAGTGTCAGGTTAACTTAATTATAACTTATTCTATCAAAAAGAAAAAAATGGTCGATTAGCGTTACGTAAAAACCTCGATTGATCTGATATTAATGTACTAATAACTTTAATAATGGCTAACATGATGCATTATCCGATCAGAAAGCGAATATGCTCGATTAAGTGCGTGTTAAGTGTTGATTAACTAATATTAATAAGGCCGAACCGTAAAATTTAACTTGTTTTATAATTTCCATTAATGTCGCATTCAGTTAACTTAATGCTAAGAATGTTTACAAGCATCTATGTCCATGACCTCTTTTCTCCAGTATCTAGACTCAAGCATATCACTAGCGTCTTTCTCTGCCTCATCCTCCAATTTTGTTCTTGACCATTCTCTAAGTCACTCTCATATCATTCTCCTGTTAAGGAGTCAGTATTCTTCCTTCCTTCATCCTGACTACATATCCTGTTCATTACAATCTCTGGATCTTGATGTACCCTGAGATCGTTGGTTTCTTCTATTATCCGTGCAAAAAGTCAAGGCCTCTCACTTTAGAGATCGATATCTTCGCAACCGTTCGATAAAAAAAATTGCGACAAAGTTTGTTGTAATCACTGAACATTTTTACGTAAAATATGTTAATTTGAAAATTTTTGGATCCACGGTTTTCTTTTTATCGTGAGTTAAATGAAAAAAGTACCCGATTTTTTACGGTACCGGCAACTTTGTCAACTTTGCGATTTTTTTTTCTCGAAAACTATAGTACGAAAAAAGAGAATTTTAAACAGGTGGTAGCCTGATGTGTTCTTAATGAGTAGCATATTTTATTTTTTCGATATTCCATACAGTTTCGCGGAAAATCGCGGTTTAGTAAGACGCCGTTATGTCGAAAACGGCTGGGTGGATTTCCTCGCGGATTTGACCAAAATATGTCAAATAATGTTGGTTGTCGGATTCCGTTATTGGTTTTTCAAAATTAGAGCTCCTCAATTTTTTAAGAGCGATTAAGAGCTCTGCGGTGTGACGGGAGTTCCGTCCAATCGGAACAGATGGTGCGTCCCAGACAGGACGTCGCGCCTTATTTCTTTATGTAGGTAAGATGAAGGCGCGACGTACTGTCTGGGAGACACCATCTGTTCCGATTGGACGGAACCTTCCTCTCTCCGTATAGCTTATTTCTGTTTCTCTTTAATTTGTAATTCCATTAAATCGCTCTTAAAAAATTAGTGAGGGGCCTTGACTTTTTGCACGGATAGTAGTAGTTATATCTTGTTCTATGTTATATCTGGTTATATTCTGGTTATATATTATTGTCATTGGACCAACAATCCATCTCAGGATCTTTCTTTCATAAACGTTTATGCTGTTTGCCATTTTCTGAGTAAGGGTCCAAGGTCTGATAACGAAATGTCATTATACACCTTAAAATTGTTTTATATATCCGAACCTTTATGTTCCTATGTATATCTTGAGATTTGATTATATGGGCTATTGGATAGTAAACTTTGTTGAATAGCAGTGTTCTTCGTATTTCCTCAACCTGGATGTCATCACTCCCTAGCTCCATTCCAAGATCTACAAATTATGAGACCACCTCTATGTCATCCTCCGTGTCACCACCCACGATTGACATAGTCTGCATCATTGTTTAGCAGTAGATTCGATGTTACCCTATTTTCATTAGACTATGGCATGTAATTGAAAATTCTTGTTACTACTTGTGTATTAATTAATATTCCTCGTATCAGTCTTGTAATCTTTATTGGTATTCTAAACTTGGTCATATTCCTGGTGATAATCTACAAATATACTATACGCATCAATTTTATTTACAGTATATATTGAAACAATAGCGGGCTAATGATTGACCCTGCGGGATACCGCAGCCCACAGGAAAAGGGTCGCCAATTAACCGCAGTGCTGCCATGTACCATTGATTACCCTCTTCCAGCCAGAAAAAAAAATCACCCCTATCTCAATGGAATGGTCAGCAAAATTTGTTTAACGAAGTACAATGCTTGCGATACAAGTGTTATACAATATTATTAATTCTCCATACATATCATAGAATTTTCTCCATAAAGCAATATTATCGCCGTCTCTAATCTTTTATATATTCTAGCAACTTACTACACTAAGTTGAATATCAACAACACTTTTCAACATTTTAGTTATATGGGGAATAAAACTATAGGTTTATGTTTTTCGCACAATAACTTATTTTTTTAGGAGAAATATTTATCTCATATTCCAGTTGCTTGGAAATACAGAGTGCTCTAAACAGACTCTAAGAACATCCTGTTTGGAAGCCCTTACCAAACTCAATGGATCACTGCCATATTATGAGCCTGACAAGTAGTCACTGATTAAGCATGAATAATCCTGATTGAAAGGGGCAGTCATATTAATCATTGCGAAGCGCTTGGTTAACTTCCATACATTTCTATATACGTCTTAATCGAGTACTAATTGGTGATATACTTGATATTAATCGAACGTTAATTGACAGGTCATATCTGTCAATCTCGATTATCGTGACGTTAGCTTTAAAATTCAATTACATTGGAGAGGTTTTGGGCATTGAATAGTCATAATGATTTTATAAAGATCTATTAGCGCTATGTTAACTTAACCTAATATCAAGGTGTCTTAGACATTCAGAAAACGAGAATCCTCGTTTATCATCAGGTAACCTTGATTAACTTCATAATTGTTTGTAATAAAAGACCCTAAAAACTTATCTATACATAGACTCGGTTATTAAAACGTTAAAAAGCAGGTATACGGGGTACAAGATAGGTAAATGTGACTTATTAATAACTATATGTGTCATTTTTATTTATGATTGGATGTTATAAGTTCAATCTATTTATATCAAAATGACACAAAAACCATAATCCATAAACTGGATTAATTGTTATATGCTTTGTTTTATCAAGAAAACAAGTTTAACCATTATCAAGTTCTAATTGGTGATATACCTGATGTTAATCAACGGTCACATTAGCTTTAAAATTCATACATATTGAGGAGTTTTTAATTTAGAATCGATAATTAAAATGTAGATTAACGTCACGTTTACTTAACAAAACATTAAGAACATGCGTTAATCGATTAAAAAGTAAGGATGCTTGATTAATAGCATGTTGGCCCTTGATTAACTTGATGTTAATAATTAATGTTTATAAAAGCAGGTATAAACATAGGAACGAGCATAAAATATTGAATATCTGAAGATATGTCAATATCTGTATTTACGATTGGATGTTCAATTAGCTTAATCAAGCTCCATTAGCTTAACGTTAACTTAACCGAGCGCTAACATGAACTTTTTAGCTCCTCGGAAAGTTATAAGGTTCGATTAACTTGGTAAACGTTTATAAAATCGGATAGTAAACACTTTATATATATAAATAAGACATTATTTTATAATGTTTGATTACCGTTATGTTAATTGGTTGATTTTACAACGCTCGATTAGCGTTACGTTAACTAATAAGACATCAACTTAATAAATGTTTATAAAATATGTATTTTGCTTTGTCACTTGGTTTTTATTTATAAAATTTAAAAATTTGCATAAAATTCATATAAAATAAATTAAAATGAAAGAAGGTTTCTTAAATACATATTAATGCATGGGAACGATTTTGTAAATATCTATTAACGCGTTGTCAACTTAATCGAGCCTTAACATGATGTCTTAACTAATCAGAAAGTAAGAGTTCTCGATTTACTTCAAGGAAAATTTTTTTTAGATTAATAATCGTTTGTTATACAAGGACATTAAGACATATTTATACATATTCTTAGTTTTAAAAGCTTCGATTAGCGTCAGGTTAACTTAACTCAATATTAAGGTAATACTAAACTGTCAGTTAACTCATTAATTATGTTAAGAGCTAACGAATTGGTACAACAATCCTTAATTATTGTACTAAATATAGATCAAAACGGGAGAATTTTCTTTCTTTCCACATAAAATGCAACATATCTTAATAGTACAGGCATTGGGTAGTTTTGCAAAGGAAAGGATTTGCTTGGAAAAGGTGACGTCCTTATGATAGCTCTGAATTTCCGTCTTAAGAGACGCAGTGTTAGTTCTACTTTTCTACTTCTCTTGCATTTTTTCATCTCTTCATCCATAAAAGCTACAAATAGCAATGAAGAAAAACTGTCCTTTTTCCATAACAAACATGTAACAGGTCTTCAGTTATGGAGGAGTCCTTTTTTTCTCTAATACTTTCGTTGAATAGGTACTTATTTGCACCGGATCATTTAAAATAAACTTTATTGTGTAATATAAACTCTTCTGGCAATCGATCACCTTCATGTCGTTTTTATCAAATCAAATAGATGATTTGGACTTGGCATCAATACATAGTACGATTTTTCTGGCAGTTTTTTGTCAGTTTGTAGAACACACCTGACATCAGTTATCTTGGTTACTAACATATTGTCATCAAGAATAGCAATAGCTAGCGATCTTCTCCATAGATAACTCTCAAACGCGCATCCTCTGTGCCCGTCGCTACCATAACTTGACTCTTCACCTTGTTCAATGTCATGTCTCTCTCCTTTAGAGTTTCTAATCACTCAAGTACAGCCTGTTGTAATTTCCTCTCTGAGTCTGCGATGAGAAGGCTCTGATATATGGAGATATTGTAGATCTCCATATATCAGAGCCTGGCATATGATCGGACTGAGGTTGAGCATGCCAACCACCGGAGTTTCTGTTCAACTCTCGCATTTCTTCACCTCTTCATCCATTCACTGTATATCCTGATCCTGTTGAATCAGACACACAAGGCTGAAAGGAGTAAAATCCGCTTTACAAATTGAAGCAATTTTCTCAATTAAAACTATCTTTTCAAATTACTAATATTACAATTTTTAATAATATTAAAATCCAAGCAAATTATATCGGCATGTTTATATACAACATCGATAATATTCACAACCAACGCCAAATCGTTCAACGTTATCGTTTCCTTCCTCATATAGTTCAATACCTTTCGATTACTTACGACTTAGTTGCCAGTGTACATCCTCAGCTACGCTTAATATAACTCGTTCCAAAGAACCACAAAATGCATTGCTTTTTAATTTTTTTAAAAGCTCATTACGTATTTCTTTAATAAATAATCTACCTAGGATGTGGTGTAAACCGCGAATAAGAACCACGAAAGATTTTATAAAAATTAAGTGAAATGAAAAGTGTTAAGAAACTTATTTGGTTCGTTGACTGATAAAGGCGCGATTTTTATTGAGTTTTTTTTTCTTTAGTGAGTGAAAAATTAATGGAAAAGAATTGTGCAGTGAAAATCTTCTTACAAATGATTTTAAATGGATGTTTCTTACGCGTAGTTTTGGGTAAATAATTAATTTATAGCTTTTCCGGTTTGTTTTGGTGTGTTACATGATATGTTGATGAAATACCGGTAAATGATAAGAATTGAAAAGAAAATCTGTTACGCGATATTACGAAGGTTACATAGATACCAAATAGAATGATTTTTTTATTCATTTATAATCTCATTCCGATTACTTACAATCATTTTATAAATATTGGAAAATACCAGCGCATTAATTTTGATAGGGAAAGACAATTTATAATTTTTCACTGATAACTTTAATGTTCGTACAAAAGAAATCCTAATTACTTTGTTAAAATGCAAATTTAAAAGGCTCTATGAAATAATGGTTGGAAGATTAAGGTCTTTACAATTTGCATTTTAAAGGAGAGCTGGTTAATTAAAAAAATATGGGAGAGATAACAAATAAATTGCATGTGGGGCAAAACGAAATAATTTTTTGTTTTGAACGTATTTTATTATTTGTTAACTACATAAATATTATTTTAATAACCACCATGAAGTAATAAAATGTAAATATTTAAATTTTTTAATACAGATAAGATAAATTCACTATTTATAAATAAATAGAATTCCCAAACTTTTTTTTTTATATCCGCAAATAAATTATGAAAGGCAACCCACATAAAAATTCTTTCGTTCTCTTTAATATTCAAAATTTACTTAAATACGAAGTTCATTACAATCATTTTTGCTCAAAGGACATCGAACGAATTAATACCTACACTAATTACTAATACGTTGGCGTTCGATTTCTTGTGATATAAATATATTAACTGTGTTAAAAAGTTATTAATTTTCATTGATATTTTTTTTGTTACAGCCCTCAAGGTCAAATTGATGGTAAGACGTCCAGTGGATCAACTTGTTGCACAAGGAATTATGCCTCGTAAGTTTTAATTAAAAAAAGAAAATGTTATTTTTAATAATAATTATTATCAGACTTATCAGTTAGTAAATTTAAATTTTCTTCAATATTTGTATGTTTTGAAAAAGTTGTAATATTTAGAAGTACACAATTTGATTGTTTAGTAGTTAAAAAATATGTTATTATGCAATCTATCTGCACAAGGAATAGCTCATTTCACTTACGCAAAAATCACTTGGCAAAAATAGTTGCCTTGATGATAAGTCCTTACTTCTTATATGTGGTTTCTACCTTGCGCTATCTGCTGTCAGCGCAGATGGTGATGCAGTTTATTAGAGGTGTTTCATCGTTTCATAATTAATTCTCCACCTCCTCTTAGATTAATCATTAAAAATAGTCAGCATTCTATATAAGCATAAATTTGTCAGAGATAGTTCAAGGTTACCTTCAAGGTCAAATGAATACCCATATAAAAAAAAATCTAAAGATACAGCATTAGGTATAGTTCCACTGACTTTTATAGTCTTACCAGTATGTCGCAAAAGGTTGCAATGTTCTAGATACATCCTTGTGTTTCGTTGACATTTAAGTCAACTCATCAGGGTTGACAAATAAATCTGGGCTGTGCCGACAGAAAAACTCGCGCCTGAATAAAACACACGTCTGACTAAGATAATAACGGTTTTAAACTTTTCAGTCATCTGTCCTATAGCAAATATCTCCGTAACACATCAAAAATGACTCACAGTCGTATTGCAGAACGAACCCCACCAGTTTTCCTCCATACTATCCATTAATTGCAGTTGTAATATTCCTGATAAATATATCTATCAAATCGCTCTTAGGTGTTTCATCTAGGTCAATAGCTGTCTTCTAATGTCAATAGACAACCCAATCGTTAGATTTGATAAAACAATCCAGGTTTGGATGTGTAATTTAGCCTCGAATATCAGATAATGGATAATCGTTAGGTGATTATTACAAAAGAAGAAAAGTTGTAAGTTTTTTAGCTTTCGTTATTTGGTGGTTTCTAGTTTTAGCGGTTGCTGACTCTACTTTCAAACTTGTTTCTTCTACAATCAGCTATTATAGATGAGACAACCTAGGATGACAATGATAGTTTCATTATTTTAAGTGTGGTTCTATCAAATGCACTTTCCATGTCAAAATGAACTCTCACGATTCCCACGGGTCGTATCGACCGATTTACCTTTGAATCATGTAGATGCAGAGGAAACACGTTAAATGTCTTTAAAGAAGTGATGAACGAACAAGCTGGAAGATCTTTGCGTTTTGTTGATCCTGACTTTCTTTCAAGTAGTACGATTGTTAGTAGTAAATTTTTTTTGCCAAGAATGAAAGATGTCTACTCCTCAAATACGAACGAACAAACGTTATTGGTCTGGAAATGGTGCTGGAAGAATCAACGTAATTAATTATCGTCACTTTGGGGTTAAGGATAAAACAGTTCTAATTCATACATTATCAGAACTGTTTGTGGTCATAAAACAAAATTTTATTAAGGTGTGGAAGCTTCTCTCAGAAATCCCTTCTGAGAGGGTTTGTATACATCTCAATCATAAATTAGTTTTCAGAGTTTCGCTTTAAGAATAGCTGATGGTTAATTATACAGAGTGGCTCATGTAACTTGTAAGTTAGAACTTTTTTAGGTTCCATTACTCGTAGAGGTTTGAAATTTTGGTGTTCATTCGGAACTTTCTAAGATAGCTCAATAATTTTTGAGCGAGCTTTCTTTCTGATTCCTTTTATGTATTGTATTATTGATTGGATGGTACTTCAACTCGACAATTTTTAAGGATAAAGAACATTAACTCTATCAAAAAATCATTTAGTTATGTAATTAAGCTAAATATGATTAAGTTTGAATGATGGAAATTATGATTTTTGGATCGTGATCTTTATTTTTATCATGTTTTATCCTGGGTGGAGTTCGCAAATGAAACATCAGTCTGAGGAACTCATTGTCAGAAAGACAACCAAAAAATAAAACATCAAGTGGAAAAATCTCCTCTGGCATCAGATTCTTGGTGAAACTTTTCGATGAATCGTGGCATCATTTGAACTGATGTAGAAATGAGGTGGATTAGAAGGATGTGTATTGCTTTGTTCTCCAGGAAAGATATCAAAATCAGAGTTAAATCCGCTCAAACCCTGAGTTTTGTAACCACACATAATTAGTTTTGTACAATTATATTGTTTTGCAATGGCTAGAAATTCTTTTTTCGGAACTAATAAACGCTGCTGGATTTGTTTCAGGAAATCAGTTTGACGTTTTTATGTAAAAAACATTTTTATAGTCACAATCTTGTTGCATAACATTAATTTGAAAACCTTCTCCTGGTCAACATGCTTTGAATAATACAATCTTATTATTAGTATTTTCTTGCATATTTTAATTTTCATATTTAGCATCACAGTCAGAATTAAGATCATCATCACCCAGAATCTATCGTCCTTGGACAAAATACTCTTGGTAACATGATTAAAATATAATCTGAAGTAGTTAGAATGTCAATGCTGATTTGATGATTCATGCTTCTCGAAAACCACGTCTGATTTGATTACATAAATTCCAAAATACAGACAATTATGTGTCTGCTCGTGGATGGATCAAAAACGCTTTGAATGACAAAGTAGAAATTTTTTCTACTAAAAACTGTCAATTAAGCAAGCTGAAAGACTTGAAATTGGTTTCCTACTTTTGACAATAAAGTTATAATCAGAAAGTTGTGAAAACTGCTCTCAGAAATCCCGTCATAATTTCCATTAACTTTTGTATAAATCTCTCATAAATTAGTTTTCAGAGTTTCGCTTTGAGAAAAGCTGTCTTGATGGTTAATTATACAGAGTGTCTCACGTAACTCGTTCGTTAGAACTTTTTGAGGTTCCATTATTCGTAGAGGTTTGAAATTTTGGTGTTCATTCGGAACTTTCAATCTCAAATAATAATAATAATTATAATACATAGTGAAATACCGATTTATTAAATAAAATAGCTCAATGATTTTTAAGCGAGCTTCTTTTCTGACTCCTTTTATTTATTAATGGTTGTTGTAGCAAAGATGGTATTTCAAATCAACAGTTTTTAAGGATGAAGAACATTAACTCTATCAAAAAATCATTTAATTATGTAATTAAGCTAAATATGATTAAGTTTGAATAATGGAAATTATGATTTTTGGATCGTGATCTTTACTTTTATCATGTTTTATCCTGGATGGAGTGAAACATCGGTCAGAAAGGCAACCAAAAAATAAAACATCAAGTGGAAAAATCTCCTCTGGCATCAGATTCTTGGTGAAACTTGTCGATGAATCGTGACGACATTTAAACTGACGCAGAAATGAGGTGGATTAGAAGGATGTGTATTGCTTTGTTCTCCAGGAAAGATATCAAAATGAGAGTTAAATCCGCTCAAACCCTGAGTTTTGTAACCACACATAATTAGTTTTGTACAATTATATTGTTTTGCAATGGCTAGAAATTCTTTTTTCGGAACTAATAAATGCTGCTGGATTTGTTTCAGGAAATCAGTTTGACGTTTTTATGTAAAAAACATTTTTATAGTCTCAATCCTGTTGCATAACATTAATTTAAAAACCTTCTCCTGGTCAACATGCTTTGAATAATACAATCTTATTGTTGCACAATCAGAATTAAGATCATCATCACCCAGAACCAGAATTAAAATATCAACTGAAGTAGTTAGAATGTCGATGCTGATTTGATGATTCGTGCTTCTAGAAAACCACATCTGATTTGATAACAAAAATTCCAAAATACAGATAATTATTTGACAAACTAGGAGTTTTCTACTAAAAACTGTCAATTAAGCAAGCTGAAACTGAAGTTGAACTTTTGAACATAAAGTTATAATCAGAAAGTTGTGAAAACTGCGTTGGCTTTAATATAAGTGCAAGTAAATGAGATAGGGCGAATTAATTTATATGTTTCTATTAAGGCGTAAATTTAATTTTAAGTGATTTCAGAAATTACAAAGTGATATTAATAATAATTTTTGTTTTAAATTATAGCATTAAAAGCGCCGGCAGCTTATTATGGACAAAGAAGACAACTGGAACGTGCAAAAACCGGTGATATGCTTAAAGCAAAAATCCAACAAAGACCACCAAGACAAGAATTAGAACGGAGACATATTTTAGAATCTGACCCGGGACATGTAGATCCAAGTTTAGCAGAGAAACAACGAATGTTGAAAAAAGCACGATTGGCAGACCAATTAAACGATCAATTATCACATCGACCGGGACCATTAGAGTTGATTCAAAAGAATATTCTTCATACAGAAGAACCAATTGAGAGTGCGGTAAAAGCCGGGCATATTCCGTATAAAGCAACTTGTGAGGGACAATTAAATAGACCTCAACATCCGATAAGCTATATTAACCCGGAAGATGATTCTCAAAGTTCTGAAGATAATTTAGTTGTTAGCCCCGGAAATTCGGATGTATTGGAAACTGCCGCGAAATCAGCCGGAATTGTGGTGAGTTTAATACCGGCGACTGAAGGAACCGTGGTGGTTACAACACCAAATTTTGTGACAACAATTAAAGACAGTAATCGGGAGTCGTTAGTGTTTACCTCGTTAATACAAAATCGTTCTGCATCAAGTCCCGCGTCTTTAGTTTCTTCCACTTCTACTTTGAGTCCTCTATCATCGATCGCTAGTCCTGTTCCTTCAATAGTTTCCCAACCAACAACCCCAATTCCTCCCCCTCTACCTACAACAACATACACACCCCGTTCGATACAATCCCCCAAAAGTGATGCACCTGGAAAAGATAAAAATCGAAAAAAATCTAAATCCAAATCAACACCAAAAACCCGCACGATTAAATTCCATGAATATAAAGGACCACCAAGCGCACAAAAATCGTTGCCATTAAACAATAATAATAACGGAGAAAGTTCTTATGATTTATTATTACAACAACAAACTTTATTGTTGCAATTTCAATTACAACTACAACATAAATACCCTCAAATTATTTTACCGGCGCAAAAGAATCAAAACGAAACCCAATCGGTTAATAATCCTCTTCCATCACCGGCTAGTTCCACCAATTCAGAATGTACTATTTCGGCGAGAATAGGTAAATTAGAAGACATGAAAGTGAGCGATTTAAAAGCTGAATTAAAAAGGCGAAATTTACCAGTTTCCGGTTCAAAACCTCAATTAATTGAGAGGTTAAAACCTTTCACAACCGGCGAAATCCAACAACCCGATTCAACCAGCAAACAATCCGATGACATTATTCTTCATCATTCTCCACCACAACACAGTGATGTTGGTTCACCTCAAAACAACGTTAAAGACGAACCTATGGATACATTAAATCCAATTAGTCCTCAACCAATTGATACTCAAGACCAAGACGATATTGTTAAAAAACAACAAAGACAAATCGAAGAGTTACAACGCGAATTGACGTTGAGTCAATTAAAATTAAAAGCTGTAACCACGCATGAACCCAAAGCTCAATTATTAGCTTTGCAAAAACGTTTACAAGTTAAACAACAACAGCAACAACAATTAGCGGAACAATTACATATGCAAAATTTGTTGAAGGCAAGGCAAGATCAGGAAAGGATACAACAACAACAACATGTTGCTTTTCAAAATCAAAAGAATTTAGGGGGTGGATTGGTTTTAACCGATTCTAATTTTATTAATCAATTGGTTGCGAATAAAATACTTTTAAATGGACACAATAGAATCAATTCGGCACCGAATTTTTTGCAAAGTACAATTATAGCGCCGGTTAAAAAAGAGGTTGAAGAAAATGTGAGACCACCGCCCTACGATGAAGCAACTAAACAAATTAAAAAGGAGAAAAATAATGTTAAAAGTCAAATAGTTGATGATGTTTTAGAAATTTTAATTAAAAACGGCGAGTTACCGCCGAGTGCAGCTCAAGATCCATCAACTCCAAATTCAGCGGGGATTGTTAAGAACGAACCGGTTTTTCCTAACAATCAACAACAACCGGAAGTGACTAGCACGGAAATTTTAAAATTAGAAACCGATTTCTTAGATTGTCCATTAGACAACATGGACATTAATCAATTGGTGATGGAACTAGCTCAACCTAGTGAAGGTAATCAAAACATCAAACACGAAACGATTCCAATGGACACCGATGAGTGGCTCGAAAGTTTATTACCGCCCGATAATAATCATAATAATAATCAAAATTTTACAACACAAATTCACGAATCCTCGGATATCAGCGGTTACGATCCTCTACTTGGTATTACACAAGAACCCTTGGATGATCCCTTTTGTTTGGAAGAGTTCCGGTCAACACCCGATATGCACGCCCTCTCTTGGGATTATGCGTCGTAGTAATTAATGTGCAACAGACATTCTTTAAATTCCAAATGCGATGTGCGATTCCACTCGGTTATAGAGAAACAATAAAGAGACATTCCAAAAAATGAAAAACGTTTTTCTTTTCGCTGTAAAAGAAATGGAAGCGTTTTCAAGCAATGTGCGGTCGCCATGTTTGCTGAAAAACGGCGAGGGACCAGGGCGACCACTACACACGGGCCAGGGAACACATCAGCTAAATTGTACATAGCCTATATACACACGTAGTATATTATTTCACGCGGTAATTCTTGTACAAATTTGTTCTTTTTTTTCGTTTTCCTAGATTTACGTTTTAGTTTCTTTTTTTTTCTTTAATTAATCACGGACAATAATTCTTAATAGGTATACAAATTAATTTTATTTTATTGTAACGTTGATAGGAGATGATTTATTTTGTTGACTATTTGAGTATATTTCTAGTGGGGAACGGTGGTTCGCACCCTTCCCGGTTATATTAAACAAACAAGGAATGTCCTGCATTGTTAATTCTTTTCGTTTCGTCTTTTCATTATAAGTTCACGTTCTTTTCCTTAAGGATATTGTAATATAAACGCATACATACATGTAATACGATAAATAAAGAAGATGCCTTAATAGACAATTTGTTAAAATAACGATAATAAGCTGCGATTGTAAAAAAAATTAAACGGAACAAAAAAAATTTACAACAAATATGGAGTGTGTGATTTCGTTCGAAATACTGTTTACGCGTACTCAGTTATTATTATTTTTTTTTTGCTAATTGCCAATTTCTCTCTATTTATGATGGACAGTATGTGAGTGAATAAAAGCTTCGAGAATAAAAAATAAATAATTATTGTGGTTTTATTTATTTACACACCTTTTAATTTTTTTTTGTGTTTATGACCTTAAAACTGAATAAAAAATCATTGGATAATTGGAGCTGGACTTTAATACAATTAGATTTGAATATCCAAATTTATTACGATTCACAATCTAGAATTAAAGATGTTCTGCAGCGGACAACATCGTTATCAATAAATATAGCAGCCGGTACTTCAAATTATATAATTCTCTCCTCCACTATCTCGACTTTCTTCTTCTTTTTCGAAGAATTTATACAAACCCCAGACAAAGCGACAGAGTTCCAAGAACTTTGCAAAGCTAAAAGCAAAGAAGTTGTTGGTGATCATGCGAGAGCTACCATACCGAAGCGCAGATCATCCTTGGATGTTCCTGAGTTAGGTTGTATGATAATACTTGGAGACGTAGGGGCGTCGATCAAGAAGGGATATAAGAAAAGTTAACGTTAATCGAAATGAACGGAGATACTTAAGGTTGGGTAAGTTGCTAAAAAGATACGTAGAGAAGAGGATCATTAAAAGTAAAGAAAACACGAGTTTACACAAGAGTATTGAAGACTATTACAACCTCACTAAGTACTTCAATTACAATTGCGGGGAAGAACTAACTACCGTATTTTCTCGAATCTAATCCGCCCCCGATTTTAAAAATGCATAGTAGTAAAAAAATTTAGTTTGCGAATGTAATCCGCATCTTTCTTTGAGCAATTCGACAACACCAAAACGATGCGATGTTTGTTGTTAACCATAAATATATATTTTTTCCGTTGATTGACGCTGATGTACCTAAAGAAACCTTGCTTACGACGAATTTTTATTAGACTAGACTTTAAATTTACCAAGCCAGAAAAAATTGGAAAATAAATAAGTATAATTTTAAAAATAAATAGTAATGCCTAGCACGAATGCCGTTCATATACTGCCCTCGTAGTAATTATACATATAATAGCGTAATTATAAAAAAAAGTAGCAAAAATCTAAAACGGTCTTCTATACAGCAAAGTTTAAAGAGATGTTATTAAGTTAGCGTTAAGGAAATCGAAAAGCTGGTACAATTTTTGCTATTAATGAGAGTAACGTTGCGGCTGTTGCGGAAAGACAAGGTAGCTATTGCAGATTGAGGCATCGTGCAAGAAATTTACCGGGCCAAAGAAGAGATGATTTCATGAAATTGACGAGGCAGTTTTCTACTTCTCTCAACAAAACGAAAAAATTTTTAATACTAACTAAGGTTGGACTGTGGGTTTTATGCGCCGAATGGTGTTATCGTTGAGGCGCAGAACTACAATTTCCCAAAAGCTCCTAATGATTCAATTTGTCTCAAACTGTAAATGTCAATGAAATGGTAGTATATCTGGATATGCCACCCAATTACACACTGGGAGAAGAGGTGTGTGGGAAATTTCTTTATAAACGAGTGGTTGCGAAAAATTGCGCATAACATTGATACTAGCAGTAACAAGTGATAGGAAAAAATTGCTGTCATTATTAATATTGAGAAAAAAATCATTCTGAAATCTGAAAGACTTCCTGAATGACGTCCTAGTTTGGGCACAACAAAAAGGATGGATAATGGAAAAGCTGATGATTGAATGGTTAAGACAAGTATGGAGTCGTAGACCAGAAGGATTATTAAATAAGGATATTAATTAATCATAGACTGATTGCCCTTGGTTTAGACTTCTTGTCATAATAATAATACCTGCTGGAATAACATCCATACTACAACCTGTGGATGTATATTAACAAACTCGAGAATTAACAAAACCGGGAGCAATTAAACGAGCTTCTGAACTTGTTCAGTGAGTGTAAGCGACATGGAAAACGATCCCTGAAAACAATATTATAACATCATTTAAGAAGTTTTGTATAATCCGAATTGATCTGTATTGATCCGAAGATGACGTAATATGGGAAGAAAATGATACATAAAAATGTAAATATCGTTCTAAAACCCTTAATAAAGTGTTATTGTTATAATATGATTTTATTTTACTATTTTCCAAATTGCAACTATACGACTGAGAATCTAATCTAATTAGAGCACATAAAATTTGTAAAAAAAGTGCGGATTACATTCGAGAAAATACGGTAATCACGTTTCGAAATCTGGAAGCTACTGATTATGCACCGATGCAAAGCAGTGGATGACCTTTCCTCACAACGATAATGTGAAATAAAGAGCATATCAGAAATTCAGAAACACGGATTGAAAAGGTCAGTCTAGCTATCTATATACAGTATGTCCCCGGATCGAGTTACAAAGAGGAAAAAAATTTTTGTTACTGATTTTTCAAACTTATCTCAGCATAAATAATGCGTCGGATATTTTCAAACCACTAAATCGCACGAACTTTATATTCTAACTTTACTATAGAAGTTAATTAATTATTCCCATTTTTATGTAAAAATTATACTTTTCCTAAATTAAAAATTTTTCAAGTTCAATTTCTGACATGTAACCATAGAAACCATAAAAGGTACAACTTATGTTGGTGAGATTAAGTCTTTTCATGCGATGTTAACCGTGAAAGAGAGAATTTATTTAGTACTGTGCTATGGTACTAGTGAATCATGTTGTCGTGTAGTTATACAAAAATTCCAGCAAAAATAGAATTTTCAGTCCAATTTTTACATAAAAATTGGAATAATTAGTTAACTTTTATAGTTAGAGTATAAAATTCATGCGATTTAGTAGTTTGAACATATCCGATGCATTATTTATGCTGAGATAGGTTTGAAAAATCAGTAACAAAAATTTTTTTCCTCTTTGTAACTCGATCCAGGGACATACTGTATGTGAAAAGTATCACGAACGTAAACTGTTACTTCTACTGCTAGGCTATGAGGCAACAAATTTTTGTCTTTAATGTAGAGATAAATGTAATTTAATGCATTGGGTGTTCCAAATTCGTATATTTCTTATAGTTATTGAATAATTAACAAAAATTCTTCTCATTTTGTCTAAAACGATTGTATGTATTTAAAAGTTTACGTTGCTATGGTGATAACCATACTATGATACAAACTAATGTTGTTAATAATAATAATAATAACAAGCCTTTATTTAGATAATGTAGGTAGGAGATCAATTGGCGAAGTTTAGCCCAAGGCTATTCTGTACTTAACCAGTTACTCTCCCAAACAAAAGGAATAATAACAAGTCAAGCCTTTTCTATCAAATAAAAGTTTAACACTCTAAAGAAATAAAATACAATACATAATAAATTACATGATAGCGGAGCTTAATCATCTGAAGTAACATTACTGTAATTCATATAAATTGCTAGTATTAGTCTTATTCACATCTATGATAATGACAAAAATAATTGCTAACTGGACCTGGAAAACCGTATTGAATTCATTTACTTTAAATCAACTGGAAGATTATTATATAATTTAATGGCATTATAAAAAAAAAAGATCTCTGAAACATATCCGTGGTATGACGAGGAATTTCCAACACGTTACAACAACGAGTAGAAAGCCTGCTCATTGTATTTCTACCAATGAACAACACACGCAAACGTACAGGAGCCGTAGGGGAAGTCAGCAAGCCATGAACAAAACAGACCATATGATACCGCCAGCGATTGTCCATTTTTATCCAGTTCAACTCTTTGCATACAAGAGAAATATGGTCATATTTACGTAGACCCAATATGAATGTTGAGCAGCAGTTTTGAATTTTGTGCAATCTCAACTTGCATACCGACGTCAAACAAGGGCCATAAATGAAATCGCAATAATTAATCACTGAGCAATCAGTGATTACGAAGCAAAAGACTTTTGCACCAAATTTTTAATATGTTCCTCAAATCTCAATTTGAAATCAATTACCAGACCAAGGCTCCTCGCTGCATTTACAACAAGGATCAAACTGCCTGCAATAACAATATTTGAGTTTCTGGAAAGAAACTCAAGAGTTTTTTTGTTATCAAAATATAGTATGGATGACTTGTCCGGATTGATTTGCAAACAATGTTGGTAAGAAATCAGAGCCATCAATTCCAAATCACGATTAACCTTAGTCATAGCTGACTAATCATCAAATTCAGACAATCAAAATTTAGAATAAATCTGTTTCAAAAGAAAACTTATCTATCATAACATTCGTTCACGCTATAATTGACTTTTCTTTTCTAGAAGTCATCGCTTATTCTTTTTAATCTTACTTTGTGAAAACACATTCTTTGATGTTTTGCTGGAACTGCATAGAACAGGTAAAATAAATTATATGCATCGACTTAAACACATTATTTTCTATTATAGTGCTAATATATGGTTATTATTCCATCTTTGCTAACAAGTGAGATATTCGCGTTTGTCGTTTTCGCAATTTTTTCCGTTTTTGCTGATAGGATGATAACAAAAGGCGATAGCTGTTTGGAGTTTTCGGCATTAGCGTTTCTCGAAAAATGAGATCATGAGTAGCTTGCAACTTTTTTTCTATCGCTTTTAGTTTTGGAGATAGCCTATCCGAATTTGGGACACTCTTATTGTACAGATAAGATGATTTATGCTCATACAAGTAACTATTGTTTACTGAGGCAACGAAGTTTCATCTTTAATAAGTGAATTTTCGAAAACCAAGAATGATGAAGAAACTAACATACAGTGTGTCCGTAAAGTAACGGATATAGGCAATATTAATATTGGTTACATAAGAAAATTTTCGAGAAAAATTACTTTAAAGTTTAACTATTCAAATTTGCCTAACATGGTAAAAATAGCAGTAGCCATGAGTAACTATGGTAACCAATCACTTTAAACAATTTCCTATTTTTATTTACACACTGTAAATATTAGATTTAAAGAGAGATTATCTCCACCTATTTTTCATACAGCTTTTTTCAAAAAGTCATTTTCCTATCAGATCGCTAAGACAATGAATGAACTTCCTCTTGAGTGGACAGTGTGTGCATCATCAATAACTTTTAAAAGACACGTGCTAAATTATTTGCATGAGCGGCAGTGACCTTCACGTTTGTAG